AGCGGGGCCAGCAGGAGGCGCTCTTGCTCCGCCAGGAACTGGCGGAAGTGCTGGAATTCAGCCCCGATGCTCTGCCGCTCCCGTTCAATCTTCTCCTGCAACCGGGAACGGGCCGGTGACAATCCTGGGGAGAGATGGGGGTAGCCACGCCCCCGAGCGGGGAAGAATTCTTACACCAGTGGAAGAATTACTCCCCTCCGCTATGTTCCTTCGACATTTTCCCAACCAGGTGCGGAATAATTTTATGTGCAAGGCATGTGCAGAGGTGCACCACCCGTAGAAACACAAACCTAGCCAGGTGCACGCTGCGAACCTTCGGGGCAGTGCTGGAATCTCTTCCTGCACACCCGGCTTACGGGGAACGCAGCCCATGGCGTTTTCAGCAGAGACAAGACCCAAGAGCCCGCAGCCCACTCCAGGCCCAGGTAGCTCTGCCCGGGGGTACATACCAGATATTCCCAGCAAATCTTTCCGGTCTCGGTCAGCCGCAGGAGTTTTTCTCTCTCTGCCTTCAGAGCCTGAAGCCGGGCCTTGATTTGTGCCTGGGACCAGAAAAAGGGCCGGCTGGGGTTTCTTTTTCGGGAGGAATGGACCTCGGTCAACTTTGTGTGATAGGGGAACACGCCCGCCCTCTAGCCACGTGAGGCTGGGTACCCGGTGGAGTGAGGCTACTGCTTCAGATCTGGGCTCTGCGGGCTTGTCTGGGGGGGGGGCGTTGGAGGGGGCTGCGAGCGGAGTCCACGCCCGGACTCGTTAGTGTTTGGAAAGCTGCGCCCTTAGACCTCCCCCCCACCCCAAAGGGCACGTTCGTTTTGGTCTCATTCCCTGCCTCTATAACACGTGCCTAGATCAGTCATATTTACCAAAGGAAATGAATAGGTTACACACACAGCGAAGGAAGTGTTTCATCATGCCACGCGCGCGGTTCACCTGCGGAACTCCTCGCCGCAGGATGCTGTGCAGACCAGGACTGGAACAGGGTTCCAAAAGGAGCTAGATTACTAGCCAGGATGGGCAGGGCCTCTGTTTGTCTGGGAAAGGGGTCACTCGATTCCCCCCACAGCGCTTGGCCTAGAAACTTCCCCGCAGGAGGCCCGCCGACAGCACCGGGTCCTTCCCGAGCTCCCGCCAACGAGGCACGGACACGCAGCGACTCTGGAGAGCGTCCTACCTTGTACGTCTGAGCCGCCTCTTCTGTGGGGACCACGGGGGGCACCCCGGACTCCCTGCAGCCCACGCAGACGACTTGCCGCTCCTCTGGGCAGGAGCGTTTTCGGGGCTCCCCTTGTGTCTCACACTGGCTCTGCTCCTCCGGTTTTGCTGGGAGCACCAGCTGTTTCACCAGCTCCACCAGGCTGGCCAGCTCCCGGCTGCAGGGCAGGTCTCTCCGGGGGGCGGTCTCCCGGCACTGGGGGCAGGAGAAGCCGGCCGGGCGGCC